CTTGGGGGCCCCTCTCTACCACCAGCCCTTAGCATGAGGGAGTCTTGTCTGTATCTTCCAGGCATCAGCTTCCTGTCTCTCTCAGTCACAGGCAACACAAGCACCTCCCTCTCAGCCCACGCGGGCTCCGCTGTCCCTCCTGCAGGCGAGCGATAGGCGCGACAACGCCCAAGCCCTCGAGTGTCCCCCTGCGGTGCCCAGCCCCTGGACGCTCACAGAATTACCAGAGCCGTTGGTCCCAAAGGAACACTACACCCCAGCTTCCTAGTTACACCACAGAACACAGCTTAGCTCGCCGCACCTACCTATGTCTGTAGTGAAAACAAGAATACATTCACTGAACTAAGAGCAGAGCACCAAAAGAGCAAGTAGGATTCATGGGAACAAAGGATTGCATGTAAAATAAAACCATAACATACATTCTAGAACTTAAACTTAATGAACAAGCTGCCATCTGTCTAATAAGGTCCTGCTTACCCAAAGCCCTTCCCACTGGCTGGGACCCTCCTTGCATGAGATTCAGGTCTGCTGGCAACTTGTCTCCCCGCAATGAAGGGTCTCTACATTAGGAGCCTAATACCTTTGAGGATCTGGGCCTAGATTTAGGTTCCCAGGTCCTTTTGAAAATCCCGCTAGACACCTCTCTGCATCTTTAGACACTTAAATACCTGGCTCTAAAGTCTTATGTTTGGCAGGAAAGCTCTCACCTACTCTAGGAACAAACTCACTCCCAAATCCATTGGCAAATTGATCTCGCTGTAGGAATACAAGTGCGAGCTATTCTGGACCATTGCAAACACCCCTTTTTTGACCTTTTCTCAGGGGGATTTGTAGAGCTCTGCCAATATTTATTTCCCCATTGCCCGGTTCTCATACATCTACAAAGGTTTCTACCTTGCATCAAAGGGAGCAATCAACAACATACATTTAAAATGTACGGAACATAGACGCCTGGTGCCTCCCCATACTGGGGCAGCAGAAGCTAAAGGGGAGGACACATGACTGCCACAAGTGTCTCTTCCCAGTCCCACACTCTCCCCACCCAATGTCACTTGTGGGGGGGAAAGGACTCTGTCCTTCACAGAATCTCAGGGTTGGAAGGTACCTCAGGTGGTCATCTAGTCTAACCCCCTGCTCAAGGTAGGGCCAACCCCAACTAAATCCCCAAATGGCCTCCTCAAGGACTGAACTCACAACCCTCAGTTTAGCAGGCCAATGCTCAAACCACTGAGCTATCCCTTCCACTACACTGGCTCTCCCTAGGAGCCAAGCCTGGGTGGGGAGCAGGACGG